AGAGTGCAAAAATGAACAATGGGAAGAACCGAGAGAATCATAAACAGCAACTGTCCAGAGATGTCATGCTGGGTAGTGAGCTATGGACAGATGGCCTGCTTTGTGCCTTTGAATTTGTCCGTGGCCAACGGAAGACAAATGGCGCAAGAGCTACTGAACATTATGCTGCCAGGGAACCTAAAAAACCACCATTATATAAATATGGTGCAAGTAATGTCTCACCCCAAGATGTTGACAAAGATCACTTTATAGAACCTCATTATACAACAGAATCTGCGTATGTTGACATCAGGAACGCAGATGGCCAAAGTTATCAACAAGACTATCCTTATCAGTCCCAAGAAAGGTCTCCTGGTAATTACTGGATACCAATAGGCTGGTCTAGAATATCTGAGCTGCTTCAAACAGTGCATATTGATAGTGGTTGGGCCTCTCAGCCTGTTGATCTCAGTGATGAGGAAGATGACGTCACTGTAGCAGATGTTGCAGCTCCATACTGGCAAAGTCCAGTTGGACCAACTTGGTGGTGTCATGTAGCTGCAGGTCACCCTTCCATCAATGCATGGTTGAGCAATGCTCAGTGGCTACATCCTGCCATAAGTATTGCCTTGCGAGATGAAAGCAAGCTGATCAGTGAACGCATGAAGCACCTTCTTTATGAGGTACTTATCTTCTATAAGTTTAGACTCAAGCAATCCGTACTGGTATAACAACTTTGGGAAGACTGAACCTTTTTTTTCCTCCTAATAGCATCAGGATCTCTAACCTATTGTATAACCTACCTGGATTGTGATAGTTTCCTTTCTTTTATTTTTTAGGATGTACAAGTTTATAAGGATCTAAGAATAGGCTATTGTTCCTGAAAATGACCTAAAGGATGGTTGACTCTTGATAATTGTGAAAAGCTTGGACAAAAGAGATGCAAGTAATCATTATTTATGTCATAAAATTATTTGCCACACCACCTACCTACTTGTATGCACCTTCTAGAAGTTTCTTAAGAGGAGCAGCAAAAGATGCTAGATATTTCTTCCTGAGATTGCAAAAAGGAGAGAAGGGGTCGAATGAGTACAGGCTGTAAATTGAACTTTCTTGCTAAATGGTATGCTTAAGGTTCGGAAAACCATTTTTGATAGAAGAACGTTGAGGTTGCAGTTTTTCTTTTAACTTGGTGACTGGTCATTTGATCTTGTTAAACTGTTTTCTCTCTCCAGTTTGACATGAGTTACTTAGTTGTTACTTATCTCGCACGAAATCATTTAGAGACAGTGGCTTTATCAACTTATATAGGATCTTCCCACAAAAGTATTTTGTGCTGTGTCCAGAGACTGCATGATTTTTCTTTGATTCTTCTCAATTTTCCTTTGTGAACTCTGATAAGAACACCAAAGATACAAATAGAGTGTATTTTCAACAAATATCTACGAAGGAAATAGGAGGAAAATCAAACTATGGGAGACTGCATTTGCTTTTACTAAACATTTGTTCTAATTTTTATGCATGCTCTTAGTTGAGGTCTAGATCTAAATTTGGACCTGAAAAATCTGGTAGGCTACAACAATTCCTCTGCAGAGCGTCATGGATCATCTGTAAAAGGAAAACAAATATTTCATAACATGAAGGTGTGACAATTCATCAAAGGATTTAACATTATAGAATTGTTTCTTAACTACAATGGTAGTTATATTTCTGTGTGAAAACTATGTCCACAAATTTGAGCTTGTATAACCTTCACTTCTTGTTGCTTTTGGTGAAGGTGCCGGTTAGAGTTGCTGGTGGATTACTATTTGAGCTCTTGGGGCAGTCAGTTGGTGATCCTTATGTTGAAGAAGATGATATCCCAGCTGTTATACGGTCATGGCAATCACAAAATTTCTTGTTAACTTCATTGCATGTTAAAGGATCTGCATCAAATATCAATGTTATAGGTATTGCGGAAGTCCAGGTTTGTCAATGATCATGTATAAATCTATCCTACTGTCTATGTTGCATTTGACATTACTAGAGACAGAGGAATAAAAACCTTGAGGCTTGGACATTTTATTGATAGACATCTCACAGTTTAATGATGTGTTCATAGGAACTACTTGCTGCGGGGTCTTCAAATGTTCCGCGAACAATTCATGAGGTAGTAGCACTCCTAGCTTGTCGCCTGGCCCGGTGGGATGACAGGTGTCAATTTTCCCTTGTTTCATTCAGCCCACTTCTTTTCGGATCTAGGAGACAAAGGAATGCATGCTTATTATCTCAAAATTTGACTAATCTTTTGAATTCATCCTCCTTGTTGGTTTGTAAGCCCTTTTGCACATATCTTCTTGTTTCCAACAATTCACCTTTAACATTTTTTCCATCTCAAGGAATTGATGCATATTCTTGTTCTTTTTCTTTCATTAGACCGTATCAATAATACTAAACTTCATCAGTAAATTTGAGTTGTCTCGAGTAAATAGAAGTTGACCAATATGTGAACTTAGGGCTTTGGATGGAAATAGGTTCTACCATCCGAGCAATCGTATTCATACCATAACCTTAAGGAATACTTGTGTAATTTGTAGGTGGGCTTCTTTAACGCACTGCTAAACATGGATCATTCTTTTTTCCTTTTTCTTGTTAAAATGTATTAAGCTATTGTGAAAATGTTGTTCTTTTGCTTTCTGTTCCACCAGACTCCTGTCTTTGATCAATCTTTACAGTTCAGACTACTTTACTTCGTCAGAAGTTGCAACTTTGATTGTTAGTTTCCAATTGCTCAATATGCTGTGAGCATGATAGAAATTTATATACTTCTGATAGCTTTTGATCTGTCATTTATGTTGCACGGCTGAGTTCATCTATAATTTTTGTCACTATGGATCAATGTCGCTTGGTATTCTGATTGTGAATTCAACTAATACACAAACTTTTAGGTTATATCGGAAGTATATTTTTGGGGCAGCTGATGAAGCTGAACTGAAGTTCATGAACAGGTTTTTCCACTTATGATTATAAACTGCTCTTGCGCTGCAATCGAAATTCTGCTGCCTTCGGTTTAGTTAATGGCATCTATTATAAACATATGAACCATCCCTGTTGGACAGGAGAACCCATGAAGATGTGCAGTTGTTCAGTGTAATTTTGAATCAAGAGATTAGAAGGCTGTCGACACAGGTACCTTTACTTTCATCGTTGCAGGAAATTGATCCCTCAAAGCATGAAAATGTGCTTAATCCAGTCGATGCCAATGCCAATGAGAAAAAAGAGAAATGTAGGAAAGCAACTAATTATCCATAAACTTCCTTTCATCATTGAGAGGATTTTGTATTTCAGCCTCTGTGTTTAAAAGCATGTTGTGTGTCGGAGTTGAACCATGCATCATTCTCTATCTTTTTTCTGCAAGGTTATACGGGTAAAGTGGTCTTTACATGCAAGAGAAGAGATTGTATTCGAGCTTCTCCAACATCTTAGGGGGAATGCTGCAAGGAATTTGCTTCAAGGAATACTAAAAAGTACAAGACAAATGATTGGAGAACAAGAAGCGGTTCGTGGCCGCTTATTTACAATTCAAGATGTCATGCAGAGTACTGTCCGTGCATGGTTACAGGTACCATAAGTCTATTCACATATGATACATTTACTAGTCTATTTCTATAACTAGTAAATGCGCTTGGCAGAAACTTCTGTGTAATCCTGTTGAGCTTTTACTCTGAAATTCTTTTACTTCAGGATCGGAGCCTTCGAGTCCAACATAATCTAGGGGTATTCGGGGGTTGTGGACTTATTCTTTCTATTATCACGGGGCTATTTGGGATAAATGTGGACGGAATTCCTGGAAACGAGGGATCCCCATATGCATTTGCCTTCTTCTCTCTCGCCCTTGTCTTGCTAGGAGCTGGGTTGATTGCTATCGGATTGATCTATCTCGGATTAAATAAACCATTCGCCGAGGAGAAAGTCGAGGTGAGGAAACTAGAGTTACAAGAACTCGTGAAGATGTTCCAGCACGAGGCTGAATCGCACGTGCAAGTCCGAAAGGATGCTTCAGAAGCCAAGAAGTCAGTTGATTCTGCAGGTATAATAACAGATGGAGACAAATATGTTGTCATTAGCTGATCAAAACATAGAAATGCCAAGTCTTCCAATACTCCATCGCGATGAGAATCAGAAAATTTTGTCTATCTTGTCACAACTGGTAGAGAAGGAAGATAAAAAGTAACATAACTTCTAATAACTGCATAGATAGAACACTTCTGCTGCTTCATACGTTGAAATTACAGGGGGCATCGTTCTTTATTCTCCTTGTTCTGCTTACATGATAAAAAGCAGAAAGCGCCTAGTTCCAAATACAGTTGAGCTCTTAGATTTTGTATGTGCATTTCTCTACATGGTTACATATGTGATATGTTCTTGGTAGTCGAGGCAATGGGAAAACAATCACGAATAGTCACTTTTTCAGCTCTTGTAATTGAATAATAGTCATTGTCGTGGAGTTTGAAATTCTACCTGTGAAACTTCAAGATATTGGTTTATCTCAGAAAAGTGGTCAGTGGAAACTATTTTTACTTTAGGCAATTGCTTCAAACAAGATTAATATCTTTGGAGTGTCATTGATGGTATTTGAAATTCCAGGACAGTGGTTGTTTTTCAAATATGGGTCGAAAAGTGACCAATGAACGTTATTTCTGATCGAGCCAGTTGTGAGAGTAACATCAGTTGCAACTAATGGAGATTATGCCTTTTCCATATTAGTGAAAGGTGTTTTGCAATAATTTGGCTATCATTTCTTATTCTTTGATAACGTTGCAGCTGGCGTGTACATCGACTATTTCACTAGTGATTTGCTACTTTTCATTTAGTACAAGTAATTCAACTAAGGCTTAGACATATAGAAAGAAATCATAAAACAATTGTCTTTAAACCTTGGCCTCTCGCGATTCTTACCCACTTCATCGATCATTGGGTAAAACCCTTGGGTGCATAACTTGGCTATTAGTAAGCACACTGTGATATAAGGATAACAAAAAAATAGGGCAAATAAAGCTACCATATGCTAACTGCAAGGATTTAAATAAGTACAGGATACATAATCAGTAAAAAGATTAACAAAATTAAGAATATACCATAGTCTGCAGAATATGAAGATTATTCAGTAGAGGGTATACAAAAACTTTCAGTATCTTAAACAAATGAAAGAAGCTTGTATAGGATCTTCAGCAACTGGAATTGGACACAGAGGCAGCTACATTATGCGCGTTTGCCATGGATATCCTGAAAGTCCATTTACAAAAACCAACGAGATGAAACATGATCAGTGAAGATTCATATAGTCGACCCCAACTTGTTCGGGACTGAAGCATAGCTGTTTTATATAGTTTTCTCAGAGTACAGAGATCAACAACATCATACCCAATGTAATCCCACAAGTGGGATCTGGTAGTGTGGACACAGACCTTACCCCTACCTTGGAAGGTAGAGAGGTTGTTTCCGATAGACCCTCAGCTCAAGGAAACAGTAGAAAGATAGTGCTAAGTAATGTTCTACTGCTGTGGTAAATGAGAGTACATCATATCCAAGCTCAAGAAGATGAGGGAAATAAGAAAAAATGACATCTAGTAAATTAGCAATCAGTATGATATCTTGCATATCAGTAACTGTTGAAAACTTAGTACTGGCAGACCCCGCAGATGAATGGTCGATGACAAGTTAATTACTCAGGTAGACAAACTGGGGAATATCGTGAACAACATAAGCAGAGCAACCAACAACAACAACAGACCAGTGTAATCTCACAAGTGGACAACATAAGTAACAGCAACCAACTGACATTATGCTTAAAAACAAAATAGGTGATAGACAAGATGCATCAGGTTGGGGGGGGGGAATAGAGAGCCTTAGCTTTTAGGAGATCAATGCATCTTTTGATGCTCTTCACTGTGGAGATAGAAAAGAAATGCCAACAAAACATTGAATTCAAGAATCAAAGACTGTCGGGATTTGGTTATCAGATGAAACTTTGTAAAAAAACAGTTATAAAATTGAACCACCTCACAGATCAAGTAGTGACGCAGAAAGGATACTGGAGATATGTGTAACACCCCGACTTTTCAAAACGTCTAAATTAACTCGTATCTTCGTGGAAAGACAAAGAGAGTGAGTAATAAATTAAAAATGATGTGGTATGTCATATTTTAAGTGTTCAAGGGTTGTATCTCAAGTTTTGAAGTTAAGTAAGTCGCAAAATAAAAGTTGGCGGAAGTTATCGTAAGTTCCTTTTTAAGATTTCTCTGAAATTTGGGTCAAATGTCTTGGAGATTTTCTCCCAATATATAAAGAGTTATGGGGCCCACGACCTATCGAATCGAAGGTCTACGAGTCTAGTTTCCAACGCATTAAACTGTTTGTTCATACGACTTCAGAATAGAGAGATATTTGCGTTTTCGTGGGACTGC